CATCCATCCATCCATCCATCCATCCATCCATCCATCCATCCATCCATCCATCCATCCATCCATCCATCCATCCATCCATCCATCAGGGTCGTGTTGGGGCCGGTGCCTATCTCCTGCAATCTACTGTATGGGCGGGGAACTCCCTGGACAGGTCGCCGGTCTGTCGCAGGGCAAGTGAATAAAGCTTTTTGTATATATTTAAATTAGCCACTGAGGGACAATATTGCATGCAAGTCCAAGGGTGGCAAACATAGAAAAGTACTCTAGCTAAGCCAAATAGCACCTCCCACCGAAGTACTGAAAATAATGAGGAAAAATCCAAGATCCTTTGTGACAAAGTATAATTTTTTTTAATTCAATTTAAAAACAGATAAGATTGGAATAGCCCTCAGAATATCGTGCGAAATTCTTCAACCATATCTAGTCATCGCTTTACCGCAAGGCAGCGCAGTTATATTGGGTCAGTCACGCTCTGTTGAATAGCTGCATCCATTGTGACCATCTAGCTTTCTGGTAGTACTGCAAGCAGAAGGCGCACAAGTCTGTTCATGTCTGCTCATCATGCCTGGTGCTGGAATTCTATTTAGGCTTAAAAAGGACTAAAAACCATCAGGATGGATGCTTGTTGTTCATTACCCTATTTCATCATTATCAAATGCTTTTTAGTCATTTTATATAAACATATAAGATGATCATTTTCCTTTAAAGATTCTCTCCTTCCTCCTAAACATGTCTGAGTCTACCTTTCATCACTGATCTACTCTACTAAATCTCCAGTTTAATAAATAACCACCTTCACCAACTAGTAAAGGTCTTTATTCCCTTTTCACCTTTTTATGCAACAGAAGTTACTGTATACTAACTGTGTTTATATTATATAACAACAAAAATGATTCATGGTTTGCAAACTTTTACACAGATATAAAAAATGAAATGTTTAGTGAGCAATTAAAAGAATCTCACATAAAACCAGTTGCCTTCATAAGTTACCTAATTAGTAACCAGGGTCAACCTCTTAGTAATTTAATCAGTATAAAAACAGCTTTCCTGTGAAGGCCTTAGAGGTTTGAAAGCGAACATCAGGGGACACACGGCATCGCGAAGGCCGAGGCACTCAGAGGTAGCTCAGGGTAGTGGATGTAGAGAAGACTGGAGCAGGGTGAAGTTATGAAACAATATCTAAGGTTATTTCTTTATTTTGTTTGATAAGATATAGCTTTAAAACAGATATAAACAAAGTAAAAGCCTCAAAAGACTACCAAGAATGTCACAACAGACCCCTTTACAAACTTATATTTATTTTATGGTAATAAAAACTCATCCTGTACAAAACTTCAGAAGTATTTGCGTTAATAAAAACACATAAAACAATGCAAAACCTAGTATGTCAGACAGTTACAAATGCTGCAATCACAGATTGTATTGTATACTGAAATATCAGCAAAATATGATCATTACTAAAGAAAACTATATTCTGAGATATATTGAATTATTGAAATATTATAATGCAATTTATATTGGTGCCTCCCAGTTGTCGATCAGCTTCAAAAGTTGCTTCAAAATGCTGTTGCCTGTTTTTTAACCAACATTCCCAGACAACAGCACATAGTCCCAGTCTTTTTTTCCTTTAAAAGCTTCCAGTTTATTTTAGGATTGATTTAAAAATGTTGCCATTTTTATTTAAAGCTCTCAGTTGTTTCCCTTCCATACCTGTCTAAACCGTTGGAATTTAGACCTTACTAGGGCCTTAAGGTCAACAAACCAGCTAAAGGTACAAACACAGAGATGATGGGGCCTTCTCTTAAGGTGGGCCCATAATCTGGAACAAATGGCCCCCTGACATTCTTACCTGATTTTATCATGAGGTATTCTCAACTGATTTTAGCATTTTTTAGACCAGGCTTAAAATCTAGTGACTCAGACCTGCTTTTAATATTCTGTAACACGTTGTCCTATTTTCTTTCATTCCTTTTGTACTTTATTTTCTTTTTTTCCCCATTCCACTTTCTACTGTGTATAATTTACTAACAGCACTTTGGCCCCTTCACGTGTTGTAAAGGGCTTTATGAAGAGAATTTGGAGGATATTTGATTGATTTGCCTTCAATGGAAAAAGAAAAAAAAAGAGCAGTTTAGAAAAGCACTTCAGTGGCATTATTGTTACATTCTGTGCTTTGCACCAAATCAACAAAACAAGAGACTTCATAATGTTATAGCACCTAAATCAGTCTCAATATCCCCAGAACAAAAGAAACTAATCTTCAGAATTGGCAAATTGTACTGCTTATGTTGTAAACCTTCGGATTAAAATTGATCACATGCTCTTAGGCCAGAGCAATGTTGGAAAAAATAACAAAATAAAAAAGAACCTTGAAAGGAAGCCACTAACCAAGGCCAAGTCGTTGTTTTTATGTGCTTTCATTTTTGCATTATGTAAAACTTTCATTTGAATTTGAGCGGCCCTATAAAATCTTTCCTCGGTATGAGTTTGCTCTCTGGTCTGAGCACACAGACAGCTGATGGGCTACTCCTTAAACTAGGGTGATATCAGCTGACTCTCTGGCAACACCTCAGTGACAGAGAAAACCTTTACAACACCAAATCAGCAGGTTTTTAGTGGTGGATGATTATGTAACAACCTTTGTCCCGAAGTTCTGCTCTTTTAAAGTTAACCTCTGCAGTTAAACAACCTGCTTCCTGCATAATAAGGTATTTTCTCAAAGAGCTCATGGATTTGTTGAAGTAACCTGCTCAGGTCCTGCTCAGACAGTCTGTCACCTCTTTCTAAAGAACAACTAATGCCCTCTCTGTATTGTACTGAATTAGGTCAATAGATTCAGGTTTGCAGTCAGTCCTTGAGTTTATTCAGCAATTTGAATGAAGCTAAAGAGGTAACTTCTGTCCAATGGGGGAACTCCAAACATTCCCTGAGGCCAGAAAATTGTCAAAACAGGTTTTTTGGTTCTCAAATGCAAAATACACTCTTCCTTTTTTGGCTGATCTAAGGCGAAAAGCTTTATGACTGGCAGAAGGCCCATAATTATCAGACAACAACTAAAATAGGAAAGTGAAGGATTCAAACATAACCTCTGCATCAGTTATAGACATTAGCATCCTCTCCAGCAATGAATACAACATCTGAAAACTAGGGCTGGGCAATTAATTAAATTTGCAGTATAATCACAATTTAGAAAAATGCAATTTTCAAATCGCAGAGGCCCTCAGTTTTTAGTAACAATACATTTAACAAGAGCAAGACACTACATTTCTCACTCCAGCCCATTAGGAGACAGTAAAATTATTAAAGTGGGTATGCTGTCGCACAGAATGGCACAGAGAGTTGCAGGAAGCACCCAGATCTATGCATTATAGCAGAAGTAATAACTTTTTCATGCAAATGTTACTGTAAAGTCCTGCAACACTGGACTCTGGACAAGCTGGCTTTGAAGGTCGTGAAAAAACTGAAACCCTGGAGTAAAACATCGACATGCTTGTGCTTTGTCCAAAGGAAAACCACAATAAAATGACAACATTGTTTCAAAAATAATTGCTATTTTTATTTTTTTGTCAAAATCATTCAGCCCTACTGAAAGGTAAGTTGTGCTTTATTTGAATAACTAAACTCTGTGCAAACTGAATCATAACTATTCTTAAGACAAGTAGGCAAAAAGGTTTCTGCATGTGCTAATAGATCTTTAGATTACATTACACAATAATTAACACTATTCCAGAAGATGGAGCACAGGCTAACGTGTCACACAAGGTTTAAATAATTAAATATAAAGGATAAAAATATAAATAAATTAAAATATTACAACAGCAAATGCATCTAAAATGTTTAGGGTTCCAAAGAAACTGCATCTGCTGAGGATGTTATACGCACCGATATGAAAAGGCTGACCATTATGGCAGAGAAATGGTATTTATCAATAGTTCATATACTTTCTTAGTCTTAATAGTACAAAAAAACAACTACCACATCATAAATATCTCCTCTGTTTAAGCTATCACCCCACAATGCTATGCTGCAGTTGCAGCTGCAGCTGCATCGCTGTCACATGCTCAAACTTATCCAACATCAGATCGGGACATCTCTAAAAATGACACTGCTGATTTTGCAACAAACACAACACACCATATCTTGACGTGTTTTTTTTTTCGCCCCACCAGCACTGAATAAACATTTAATTAAGTAAAATAATTTATTTTAAAGCTTTTTAACCCATCTTCATCAGTAGTGACAATATCTTTCCCTTTACTAAGACACATGAGAGCTCCCAGTTTGATGACTCCTGTAATGAAATCTATTATTAGAAAAATAGGAGAAAACCTGCTGCACTAAGTGTGAACAAAATGAATAAGCGACAATATGAGCAGCATCCCGACATGTTAAAACAGACTTCACAAGATCTAGATAGCCCCAGAACGCTCCACATGATCACTTTAACATTACGTAACTCTGCTATTTTGGCAAGAAAGTGCAGCTCACAAAACAAACCACAGCTCAATTCTTCTGATATGTTGAGATACTCCTCACCACTGTGCTGTGTAAACATGAAACTATCCTTCATTTCTTTGCACTTTGCTTCTTAGAACAATAGGTGGGCAGAGTACAAAAGAAGTACAAAATACAAAAAGTTATACTTAAATAAAAGTAAAACTACTTCATCATATTTATTCTCAAGTTGAAGTAAATAGCCCTTAAAAAGTGACTCTTATAGTAAAAAAGTATTTGGTAAGAAGGCTACTCTATTACTACTACACATGATCATACCAACTGATTTAATATTTAACAAAAAGATGTAAAATTGGACCAAATATTAAGTGATATGCAAATTCTGGTGTTTGAAAGAATAAGATAAAATAAAAAATATGAGATACATTTCTTGCAGAATAAGAAATGTTGATAGAATGAACACTACTCAATATATATTTTTTGAGTTATAAATTCAATTGTTACAGTATGTAAGGCTAGGTTAAATTACAACATACTGTTTGCACTGTATTTTCACTCAACCTCCGAAATGACACGTCAGATTCAGCAGATAGAAAATAACATTTAACTAATAAGCCTTCAGTACAAAAAAAAAGGAAACATTACGTGTATCTCTGATTGGTGTATATCTTTTTTTTTTAAACAAGCTTATTTTTATTAATTGAAGTTACTCAAGTAAGAGTAGCAATACTTTATCATAATATTACTCAAGTAAAATGCTGTAAAACTATTCCTTAAAGCACTTTTTTTTAAAGATTACTTAAGTAAATGTAACCAAGTAAATGCAAGTAGTTACCACCCACCTTGGCTAAGAACCAAGCTTTATTGTCTTTACTGTCTTTTTGAATACCTGTTTTATTTTCAGCGTCGCCCTATGGGGTTATCTTACGTCATACTATGGAGTAAGATAACTGACCCCATACTATGGGGTAAGATAAGCTAATAGTATGGAGTAAGACAACAATTATCTTCAGTAAGATTTTTGAAAAAGCTGTGTTTCAACAGATAGAACCCTGCATAACAATGACCCGCTGCTTCAATGTCTTTCAGCTAGGCTTATATGCTCAACACAGTACAGAGACTGCCCTTGTCAAGGTTACATCATTATCAGTGCAGACTGTGGAAGAACCACAGTGCTGGTATTATTGGAACTTAGTGCAGCATTTGAGACTGTTATTCTCTCCATTTTATTAGGCTGTGCTTTCTGGTAGAGCACTGGGTTGGTTTCGATCCTACTCGAAAGACAGTGGCTGTGTATGAACATCCGCCCTAACCCCTAAATCACTATTAGAGCAGGGACTATATAGTGGACTTTATAGTGAACTCAGTTATCTTGCCACTACTTTGCACTCCAAGTTAGTCACATGACTCAGGCTCCCTCAACGGTGCCATCTTTGTTCTCTCTCACCCCCAAAACAAAACCCATGATGCTTTGCGAGGAGTGCTCTCGCAAAGCATGCTGGAATAAATCTGCTCATCTAGTGACCATGGTTACACACTACTTTTCAAGATGCATTGTGGGATGTTTTGAGACCACTACTCTTTCATCCACCAGACATTCTGACACTCATATAAAATGGCATAACTTTTTTATGTGTCAGTAGTAAACTTTAGAGAATAAAGTTGTGAGAATAAAGTTGTAATATTATGGAAATAAAGTCGTAACATTACGAGAATAAAGTTGTAATATTACATGTTAAAGTCTTAATATTACAAGAATAAAGTTGTATTTTATGACAACTCTTACAAGAAGCACTTTCTTCCATAAAATGAGGAATGTCGAGCATCATGTGAAGGTATACTTTGGCATCAGTTTAACAAATAAGGAAATCTTATAGCACACCAGAATCAATAGGGCATGATGTCAAAGTGGGATTAGTTGCTGATTGGGGGTGCTGCGTATACTGGTCGGAGCTCCAAGCTTTCTTTCTGAAACGTGTTTTGGTATGATGACTTAATTCTCATAATTTTTCTACTTTATTCTCATAATATTTCGACTTTATTTTTGTCATGTTACAACTTTAGTCTCATAATATTACGACTTCATTCTCATAATATTACTTTATTCTCGTAATGTTATTACTTTATTCTCATAATATTACAACATTATTATTGTAATATTCTGACTTTGTTCTTGTAATATTACTTTATTCTAGTAATATTACGACTTTATTCTCATAACATTACGACTTTATTTTCGTAATATTAAGACTCTGTTCTCATAATATTATGACATTATTCTCGTAATATATCTTTATTCTCGTAATATTACAACATTATTATTGTAATATTCTGACTTTATTCTTGTAATATTACTTTATTCTCATAACATTACGACTTTATTTTCGTAATATTAAGACTATGTTCTCATAATAATATGACCTTATTCTCGTAATATCACTTTATTCTCGTAATATTATGACTGTTTTCGTAATATTACAACTTTATTTTTGTAGTATTACGACTTTATTCTTTGAACATTACGACTTTATTCATGTAATATTGCGACTTAATTCTCGTAATATTGCGACTTAATTCTCGTAATATTACGACTTAATTCTTGTAACATTACGAATTTATTCTCATAATATTACAACTTCATTTCCGTAAGATTAAAACTATATTCTCATATTACGACCTTATTCTTGTAATATAACTTATTCTCATATTATTACGTTATTATTATTATTGTAATATTATTACTTTATTTTCGTATTAATACTACTTTATTTTCATAATATTAGGACTTTATTCTCGTAATATTACGACTTTATTCTTGTAACATCACGACTTTATTCTCGTAATATTATTACTTTATTCAAGTAATATTACTTTATTCTCGTAATATTACGACTTTATTCGTGTAACATTACGACTTTATTCTTGTAATATTGCGACTTAATTCTTGTAACATTACCACTTTATTCTAATAATATTACGACTTTATTTTCGTAAGATTAAGACTTTATTTTCATATTACGACCTAATTCTTGTAATATCACTTTATTCTCGGATTATTACGTTATTATCATAATATTATGACTTTATTCTCCTAATATTATGACTTTATTCTTTTAATGTCACTTTATTCTCATTATACTACGACTTTATTTTCATAATTTACGACTTTATTCTCGTAATATTATGACTTTATTCTTTTAATGTAACTTTATTCTCATAATACTACGACTTTATTTTTTGTAGTATTACGACTTTATTCTCGTAACATTATGACTTTATTCTCGTACTATTACGACTTTATTCTTGAAATACAAAATAAATAAAAAAAAAAACCTCTAGCCTGGCCCTAATACTCTGTCCTACTTTGAAGCGTTGCAGCACAAGAAAAAGGAAAAATAATAATTTGGAGAGAAACTATCAGGTTATGAAATGTTGATGGCACACACACTTCTCGTTCTAGTTTGATGATTAAACAAATTAAACAGAGGTATGAAACAGAATTATATTCAAAATACCCAACCTTGACCTATTTAATCCCATTTACACTAAAACGGTCCAAGTAATGCAAAAGAAAAGATAAGGAAGTGTGAAAAGATGCCAGCCATGTGGAATGAGCTGGAACCTGCAGCCCTGAGGTGAAGGGAGCGGCAGCAGGCGGACTGCATCCGGGATATATAGCGGAACACTCTGATGGTGCCTTCAGAAAGTTTAACATCAGTTCAAATAAACCGCAATGTCCACACACAACTTCCCCCTGCTCATATACTTCATTTAAATGAATGTTTAAAAACAAACAAGTTAAGGTTGCAACACTTCCTAGCCTAACGTCATAAAAGCTGTAGAAAAACTGAGAGGCAGGAATCGACCTGAAACTAAGCTCCATTATAGACTAAATAAACGGATTTCTATGAATCTAGATCTATTTGGACCGTCTGAAAAGTCCCAACAGCCGCTCCTCTAATATCGCAGACAGACGGCGCTAAAACCAGGCCTGCTAGCTGAACTTTAGATGAGCAACGCCTTCCAACGGTTAGTTTCTCTGATGGAGAGAATCGGCGAAGTTCGCAGCTGAAAAATGTCCTAAAAATAAAGCCCTCCGGTAAATTCACTTTTAATTTACTCTTAAAAAAAGCTCCCTGAACTGAACGGACTCTATCTTAAAGCATGAAGCTGCATGGAGAGCAGCTTTCCCCTAAATGCAGATGCTACAGTATGTAACGGTGCAGCCACTCACCTCTCACCGCGTGCAGACAGGTACTGTGGGCTGACAGCGATCGTCGGCTGCCACCGCTGCTCTGTTCCTGCTTCTTCTTCTGCTCCTCCTCGTCCTCGGTCTGTCGCCGCTGGGAGGATTTCATAAATATTTCGTTATTAAAAGAGGCTCTCGTTAACACATTGTCCATCAGATGAATGAATCCGTTCAGTTTCTTCCTAAGTTTGGTGGTAATTTCTTTCGCAAAATCTTTAACCGTGTCGTGATTTAATTAAGATACAAAGAGTTAGTTGTTTACTCTTTTCTCCCCTTAATCTGAATAAATATCTCCTACCGCTGCGGATCAGCCGGAGAGTCCCAGTCACATAGTGGATTTTTATGGTTAGTTATGTTAGACGATGATAGTAAGAAGGCAGGCTATTTAAAGTTACGTCCGGGTATGAGGGGTGATCCGTGCCGCACTGATTCTCTTTAAAGTTGTGTTATTAAAGGTACAGTGCAGGGCAACTGGAAGTACTTAACAACAGGGGGTGCTGTGAAAAGTTGTTTTTGGGAAATATACCTATAAGCCTATTTAAATACAATAAAAAGTAAATAAGTAAATAGACTGAGATGCACTACTTTATTGTCATATGCACTTCAGTGCATGCAACCAGGGTTTGTAATACAGACATCATCAGTTCTCAGGTGAATAAATGTGCTATTAATTAAAGCCGACAAAAGGTTCAATGTGTACAGTGTGATATATGTTAAAAAGAGATTCAGTGTGTAAAGTTTTATTCTGCACAGTGTTATATAAATAAAATATAGATAAAGAGAAGCTGTGTGCGAAGAATTTTTATTTTGTACAATGTGATATTAATGTTTAAAAAAAAAGCAGTGTGTGGAGAAGTTCTATAATTTACAGCATTGACTGAAATGACAAAAATGACAAAAATTTGACTAAGACTATAATTGATTTTCATCATTTAGACTAAGACTAAAACTAAATCGGGAAGGTAATAACTAAATATGACTAAATAAGACTAAAATAGATTTTTGTCATTGTGACTAAGACTAAATTAAAGAAAGCTGACGAAATTAACACTGCAAACAATAGGAAATTAATAATATATTATACTATTTAAACAGCATTGAACAGTTCTCCATCACACAAAGAACCCAAGATAAAAATAACCCTCCAAAGTACTATGGTTATGTTAAACTGCATGAAAAGATATGAAAGTGCGCAGCAGCACCATGCTCTTACTTTGAGCTACAGGCAGGGTGCCCTGGTTACAGGTGTCCAAATGTTCAGGTGCGCTCTGAGGTCATGGAGATAAAGTCTCTCATGAGCGGACAAATCCAATGCGTTTCTGTGTCATATTTCCTTCTAGTTTCTGTCATTAAACTATGTAAATGTACTAGTCTGCTACCACAAGCGGGATGCTACTCTCTGGCTTGCTTGACGTTGCCATGACAACGTAACTTCCATGGACTTGTGTTGATTAGGCCTCAAAATAATTTAATTAAAATCCAATTAAACCTTATAGTAAAATAAAAAAAGGCAAAATCATCTCCAAAATATTCATAAGAAATTTATAAATTGTGCAAAGTGTTTTTAAATGCTGCTGAACCACCAATTCCCGCAGCCATGGCACAGTGTGTAATAATTACATGGATTTACTGACATAAATGTAATATATTATCTATATATATATATATATTATCACCTATGAACTGAAAGTCTCAGTCTTTATGTCTGCCTTGCCTTAGAAACTGCTATTCATAACTACATAGGAGTGGGTTTGCATTTGTAAAGACAGACATCTTTTCATTACGGCAGCACAGAGCTGCCAAACTAGTGCCTGCATAGATTGCCATTACGCTTGAATGGGACTGCCGCAAGTTAGCCCTGAAATAAATCCTACACTGACTAATAAAGTACTATTTATACAATTATTTATGTAAACCAGACTTACACTGGCCAAGAGCTGCAACCTCCGGGATATTATGAAGCTAATTGGTTTTAGACGGCTGTTGTTGTTTTTTTCTGAGTGGACTCGCATCTTTTTCCTTTGGTCCATTTTTGTTTTGATCAGAGTGCACAAAACAGGGACAAATCAACTGGACAACAGGGGTAAGCTGAGACTGCGTTCCTGAGCTCAGGCAGAAGCAGCGGGGAATCAGTGTGAGAACAGCAGCGCAGAGATTTTCTCCTCTCTGAATGTTCACTGCAGTCTGCACTCCACTAGAGGTCGCTGACATTGTCCATCCATCCATCCATCCATTTTCTGTCATGGTTATCCTTTGTGAGGGTCGCGAGGGGTGCTGGTACCTGTTTCCAGCTGTCTACGGGCAAGAGGCGGGGTACACCCTGGATGGGTCACCAGTTCATCGCAGCTTAACACAGAGATAAACAGGACAAACAACCATTCACACACACACTCACACCTAGGGAGAATTTAGAGTCTGCTTTTGGACTGTGGGAGGAAGCTGGAGTACCCGGAGAGAGCCCATGCATGCCCAGGGAGAACATGAAAACTGGGAATCTTCTTTGCACTTAAATATATTGAATTCTGATTTGTCTCCAAAAGCACCACCTCTAACCCCAGAGTTCCACCAAACCCGCAGTGGATCCTCTACTGTGAGAGTAACTTGTTTAGTTTAGCCATGTTGAATGTCTGTACCTGTGACATAGACATTTACCAGCACTGACTGCTTTAACCAACAGGGAAATCCAACTGCACTAGCCGCTCTTCAGCCACTTTGGCAGCACAAGATAAAATAAGTGCCGCTAAAAACCCTAGTGCATCCCTATGGGGGAAGCATCCTAAAGGCAGATAATGAATTTTATTGGAATGTACCATCTTATATGACAATTAACAAAAGTAGGGGGTAAAATATGCAAAACAGCCCTATAATTTCCTCACTGTAGTACCTTGAGTTCTAAATTTGTTACTTCAATTATTTGACACGTACTTTGTCATTTTTATACATTGATTTAGATTACTAATGATAACGGCTATAAAATGAATATGCAACTACAGCTTTTTTCTGCTGTTTTTCACGGCCTCAGGAGTTGTAGCTTTTACTTTGTGGCACAAATAACCCGTCATACCTGAGCATGTCAAAGAAGGCCAAGGCATGTTTAGACTCATGAGAAAAAAACCCTGGAGGTGTGTGGCAGACTCAGCACATACCTAAACTGTGGTTACAGACACCTCACACATTTTTGTTTTCTCCTTGTCTAGCTGAATACTTCAATCAGTAATAGCAGTAATTCCTTTTATCTCAAAATCCTGAACATCTTCCTTCTTCTGTAAAGGAGTCTCCATAATGATGTATTGAAAATGTGTATGTTTAGTTTTCAATTCAGGGTACATATTACCACCCGCAATTACCCTTTTGGTCCTACAGGGGGCACCAGAGCTCTCCAAAGAAAAATATTTTATTTATCCGAACTCTTAAAAAACCCTGTTGTTAATTAATGTTTTGGGATCGAAACAAATACATTTCAACAGCATTATTTTCTAAATTGTACTTTATTTTTTTCTTTTAAAGACATATGTTTTTCAAACAGCAATTGTAGAGAATAAATAAAGAAAAGTGTTATTGTTTTTTGTTTTTTTTTTGTTTCTCCCATAGGTACATTTATGCAATTAAAAACTCTATAATAATTGTGTTCATCGTTGTTTTCCCCCTCATAAATAAAAAAAGAAATAAACTTTCACATTAGCCCCGCAATCAAATTGATTACCAAATAAATTAAACGTAAAAAATCAAGATAGAAAAATTCCCAGCCCTTCCTTCCGTTTTCGCTTTGTTTTTCAAACGTAGTGGCAGCAGAGCGTGTTACTTAGCTAAGATTTATGTCCTCCATTTTTAAACCAAGGTATATACAGCAAGAGGAAATCCATTTCTTTTCCATTTTAATCACTCCGTGTTTTTACTTTACTTATAATTAATAAAACTAACTCTACATAACAATATTACCAATGGTAATCATACAGAATAGTATTTTCTTCTGCCATCCACTGTGTAGACTGGCCTTTTCTTGGCGCCATAGACCACAAATCACACTATACATTAGAACCCTGTTCAGTAGAATAACATCATTGATATGCTTTTTTTTTTTTCTTAACATTTATATCTTGTTGCTGACAATAGAGTATGTACATAATATAAATGAATCCAGCAGTGGAATGATAGGAACTCTGGAGCACTTCGGATACTGTGTGGATGCTGAGTCTTTCGATGAATTATCTTGTTGGCTTTACAGCGTTTAATGTTGTTTCCGTAAGCGCCTATACGGGATACTGCTTGTAGTGAAGTGTTGCTCCTGTGCTATAGGGTTGGTCAAAACAACCAGACAAGGCTGGGACGTCCCCCAAGTGGTTTTCTTGATTGACTTCTTACGTTTTCCTGGAATAAAAAAGAAGAATTAAGTTTTTTTTTCTTTTTTAATATACATCACACATATTAAGAATATCAATACATTTTTATTATTATTATAAAGGATCTTGCAATACACACTGGACAGTCACTCTGTTCAACTTTACTCACTTCTTATTCATCTCTCATCTCTTAAGCAACACATCCTATTTTATAACATGCAGGGTAGGAATTCTGGTAGTAATCGTTTCTTTGCTTTTTAGAAAAAATTGCCCTTTGTAAATCATTATAGAATAATTATACTGTACTGTTGTCTACTGTTTAAGATGAGCATCTGTAATCATACCAACTGGGGTTCATGAAGAAAATTTCTGCAATGTCTTAGAAACAAGATATATTTGGGTTAAAACAGTAAAAGTTACCAGTTTTTAAAACAAAGCAGACTATATTTCAAAGCTTTTAAGGGAAAATGAACCTTACTCTTTCAGTTTATGCATGTAACGGAAGCAAAACTGTTAAAAATGTATCTGATGTATATGTATATAATTTTGTATCGAAAAGGTGATTTTATACGAGTTCATGGAATAAATGGAAATTAATATAAACTTCTTTTCTGAAGAGCTGCTAAAAAAAATTATATTTGCTGTCTCAAAATTCAGAGGTTGACAATCTCACATATCCCTTAGGCTGGGAGGTAAATGCTCGATCTCTGGAGTTTGGGCTCAAGAGGTTTGGTGGGACTCACACTGAGGCTGATGAATTTTTAAAGCAGTGATGAGGTTATGTTACTCTGCTGGTAGTTTCTATGTGAACTTTCTCTAAAATGAAATCAAATTTAAATACCAAAAAAAATAATATTTAGGGTAAAATAAGTATCTCAACTAAATTAAAAAAAAAAACTTTAGATAATAGAAAAATGAATAAAATCAAATGTCTGTTATTTATTTGTTCAGACGTGGACAGAGTTCCTACAAATCCATCCTGTCTGTTAATTAAACAATATATAAGGCAATGAGACAATGAGACAATGAAAAACTATTAGGAGGATACTTGGATGGTAGGGACCACACAAACAGTGACGGAACG